ATGGATGGATGGATGGACGGATGGATGGATGAATGTGTAGATGGATGGACGGATGGATGAACGTGTAGATGGATGGATGGATGGCTGGACGGATGTATGGATGAATGGGTAGACGGATGGATGGATGGATGGATGGATGAATGTGTAGATGGATGGACGGATGGATGAATGTGTAGATGGATGGATGGATGTATGGATGGATGGATGGAAGGATGAATGGATGTGTCGATGGATGGATGGATGGATGGACGGATGGATGGAGGGATGAATGGATGGATGAATGTGTAGATGGATGAATGTGTAGATGGACGGATGTGTAGATGGACGGATGGATGAATGTGTAGACGGATGGATGGATGGATGAATGTGTAGATGGATGGACGGATGGATGGATGTGTAGATAGATGGACGGATGGATGGATGAATGTGTAGATGGATGGATGGATGGATGGATGGATGTGTAAATAGATGGATGGATGGAAGGATGGATGGATGGATGAATGGATGGATGAATGTGCAGATGGATGGATGGATGGATGGATGGACAAATAGATGGGGGAACTGGCAGATACTGGATAGATGGGTGGATAAATGAACAGATAAATAGACAGATGTACACTCTAGTCACTCACCAGTTTTTGAGGATGAGGTCTGGCAACAGCGAGCCATGGTGGAACTGGTAGATGTGCAATGAATGGACGGACTGACAAACGAATACATTGATGGATAGACAGATGGGCTGGCATATATACTAGCCACTCACCAGTTTCTGAGTCTCTCGACAATGTCTTTTTTGTTTGTTGGTAAGTGTTTTACATCGCTCGCAACTGCATAAGGTCATATGAGCGCATGGGACACACTAAACATTTTCAGCAGGTAGGAAATTTTGAATTTTGTCTGGGTGGCAGCTGAAGCCTACAGTTATCGATTTTTGACCACCAAGTGATCTTTAACATGCAAAACTTGCACAAAGGACCTCTGAGATTTTTCGCCTTATCCGAGAAGGCTAGGTGTTAGATTTTACTTACCATAAGATCAGGGGCGTGGCTGAAAGACAGAGTCGTTAGAAAGAGCCAGGGTATAGCAGTAGAAAAGGCTGCAGAAAGAGTCAGGAGCCCAGAGGAGCGGCAAAGGAGGTGAGGTCGTGGGGACAGAAAGTGGAGACGAAAGCAGACGACAGAACATTGTAAGAGAGCAGGAAAGGATGTGAAAGGCAAACATCTTAGAGAAGAAAATGTTCTTTTGCTATCCGGATTCGAACCCAGAACTTATTGAATGAGAGGCAGAAACCTTAACCTCTAGACCACGAGAGCCCCCCCATACAATGTCTAGCAGTAGCAAGTTTAGTTTCAGTTTTAGTAAGAGTTTTACAGCACTGGCAACACAATAAGGTCACATAAGTGCCGAAGATTAGAGGTGTAACAAGAGAGTAACGAACACAAAAAAGGAAGGAGGGGAGATAGAGAAGATAGATTTTTTGATAAAAAAGAAGGAGCAAACCACACCAGAGCACCCGCCAACTAGCGGCAGCAAGCCATCGTGGAACTGGTGGGCGCTGGACTGGCTGTTTTTTAGTCGAAGTTTGAGGTTTTTCGGCGCTCGCAACTACATGGGGTCATATGAGCGCCAAGGGGTGGGTGTCAACAGAGAAGTCCTTACAGGGAATCAGGCTTACTCTCCTCACCTCTCTAGCTTCAACAGCACAAAGTCTGCTTCGACTATCAAGGCACCCCGGAAATAGCGGGTCACAAGAGTGTGACAAACATACAAAAGAAGTAGAGGAAAGACGACTATACTAAGGATTAGGAAAGAAGAAGCAGCAGTTCCCTGTTGTAGATCAGGCACAGTTATGAGCGTGACATTGATGAATCAGCCCATTTACAATTCTACTGTGCATGAAAGAGAAATGTCCTCCGTGTGGGATGGCCTAAAGACATCACAGTCAGTGGCACCGCCCTGTGGGGTTGGACTAGTTGGATGGATGGATAGACAGATAGATAAATGTACGTGTTGGCAGACATTTAAGTCTCTCCATAAGGTCAGGCAACAATAAACCATGGTGGAACTGGTAGATGCTGGATAGGTTGGATGGTTGGATGGATGGATGGTTGGAGGGATGGACGGACGGATAGATGGATGGATGGATGGATGAACGGATGGATGAACGGATGGATGGACAGACAGATAGCCACTCACCAGTTTCTGAGTCTCTCTACAAGGTCTGGAAACAGTAAGCCGTGGTGGAACTGGTAGATGCTGGAGAGGTTGGAGAAGATACACTGTAGCGAAGTCATGGACACGAAGTTGCGTTGGTTGTTCTGGGCCACCAGCTCGCCGAAGAAAACCTGAAAGATATAGTTTTAGTAAGAGTTATACGGCACTTGAAACACAATTAGGTCATATAAGTGCCGAAGATCAGGGGTGTTAGAAGACAGTTTTTTGCTTGTTTTAGTAGAGGTTTTACAGCGCACGCAACTGCATAAGGTCATATGAGAGCCAGAAGATTAGATTTTTAGTTTAGTTTTAGTAGAGGTTTTACGGCGCACACAACTGCATAAGGTCATATGAGAGCCAGAAGATTAGATTTTTAGTTTAGTTTTAGTAGAGGTTTTACGGCGCTCGCAACTGCATAAGGTCATATGAGCGCCGGAAGATTAGAGGTGTTACAAGAGAGTAACAAACATAAAAAAAAAGAAGGAGGGGAGATAAGGACGATAGATGTTTGATAGGAAAGAAGGAGCAAACCATACCAGAGCACCCGCGAACCACCCACCAAACCTGAATGACAATAACAATAACAGCAATAACAAACAATAACAATAACAGCAATAGTAAACAATGATGATGATAACAGCAAACATTTTTTTAAATAACATTAACAGCAATAGTAAAAAAATAACAATAAAAGCAACAGTAAACAATAACAGCAATAATAAACAATAACAACTCACAGAAGAAAACCTGAACGACAATAACAATAACAGCAATAAAAATCAATGACGCTAAAAGCAATAATTAAAAAATGATAACAGCAATAATATACAATAACAATAACAGAAGAACAGTGAAACGGTATAAGTGTAACATCCCTGTTGTTGTTGTTGCTGTTGTTGTTGTTGCTGTTGTTGTTGTTGTAGTTATCGATCCAGCAACATCTGGGCTCTCGCCCTTCTGTCCATAACATCCCTGTAAACACTATTAGGTTATTTAGTTATTTAGTAATTTAGTGGCGTTGGTGGCCTGGTGGTTAGGCTCTCGGACTCGCAACCGTAAGGTCGTGGGTTCGAATCCCATCAGGGGCCCGACGCTGTGTCCTTGGGAAAGGCAGTTTACACGAATTTTCCTCACTTCACCCAGGTGGGAATGGGTACCCAGCTATAGACAGC